GGGGGGGGGGGGGGGGGGGGGGGGGGGGGGGGGGGGGGGGGGGGGGGGGGGGGGGGGGGGGGGGGGGGGGGGGGGGGGGGGGGGGGGGGGGGGGGGGCCGGCATGGTAGAGAATATTTTCCTCATTATTGCAAATAATTATTAATAAAAAAATTCCCCTAAACTTAATCCTGTTGAAACTTCGTGTCTGCATCCTTATCTGGCCAGTTCTATTAAAAAAGCCATCACTGTGGACTATTAAAGCTGTAATGATGTACCTACCACTAAGCGAGCGTTGAATAAACGTTTTTCATGAGCAAAATAATTTCTCCCATTTATTTTTAGGACAGTAAAGGATTATAATCAATATATATAAGCTGGACATGTAGCATATATATACTCATCAAACTTATTCATCTCTTACTTTCTTTCTGCATTCTGAATCAATGGCTTCCGAGTGCAACAAGTCCTTTTCCTGCGATTATATGCTTCTGAATCCAGACGAAGCTAGTTTACACGACATGGTGCACATATTATTTTCTAGTGACGTAGGAAAAATAAAATTTGTGGACTGCCCGGAAGGGACACGGGAGCCATTTGGTCGTAGATGGATTATATTTGTTTCCATATTGGCGCAGAAGCTTTTACAGAAAGTGTCAAAACCATTGGCAGGGTTTGGCTCGGCGGTTGAGGTGTGGCTGAATTTGCTGTCAAGTAATGGCAATATTTTCCGGCTACTGCTGAATTCCATAAGAGGTATTTGTACTGATAATTTTTTTTCTTCGGTTTTTGCAAGTTAATATAGACGTGGATGATTTGCATGAAAAATTCCATACAACACTTGGATACGTCTAGTCCCCATTTTCAACCACACATTTCATATGATCCACAAATTTTATCAACTTTTCAATTATTCGTCAAATTTTTATCAAAATCTAATTTTTAATTAAACCAAACAGTGGTGTAATTTGACGAATCAAACATTATTCAATTAGTCACAACATGGATCACAATCGATATTGGACATGTTTTGTTGTTCATTTTATAATGGGAGAATTGCAACCACAATACCAATAAAAGATTTGAATAAGTCTACAACAAAACGAAATGTTTGATGCTGTGGGTGCAATTATCCCTTTTATAATTCTATGAAGTATATACGGTATGTCTAATTAAACATACCAAAAGTTTGCAAGATTTATTTATCGTTCAAGATTGAACTAAGGATATTTCTCTCATGTGCAGGGACGGTAATATATCCAGAAAAAGATTCCACAACATTTGTGTCATTGATTGGAAATATAGACAATCGAGTTAAATTGGGCATCAGCCGTGAAGATCGAAGGTACAATGCTGCACTTAGTGCAATGGCTTCTAAAGTATCTTATGAGAACAAGGCATACGTTGAATCTACTGTGAAGAACCAGTGGAAGGTACACGGACAATTCATTTGTATTTGGCATAAATTGTATTATTAGTTTTTTTTTTCTATCTAAAAGGTTAAACTATTAAAGTTGAGTCAATTTTTATTTAAATAGTCTTCAATAAGGTTTGTACGTGATGAATTTATTTTCTATCAGAGGTCAGATAAGTGTAAAATAATTTATACATAAAGTGACGAGGATGAGTTAATATTTTTTCAGTAATAGAAAAACTAAGACGTTAATTGTTGCAAACTTATGCTTATCATGTTTTTTTTTTTTTTTGTGGCAGATGGATTTTTTGGAATTCTACGACTTGTGGAACGGTATCGTGTTCGAAACGTATCAAATAAGCTCATAATCTGAAATTAAAATGCTATGAAATAAAATACATTCGGCATTTAAGGTGTATTTATAATTTACATATCGTACAAAATTATAATTTGCATACTATCTTACTTGAGGTGGGTCCTCGGGACCCACCTCATGTGAGACAACTACTCTACCGGGATTAATCCTATTTAAATTACTTAATACTTCATACCATTTATTATTCTTCAAAATTTTAATTTCTATAATCTTTTATCCAAAAATTATTTTTTTCTATCTTACATCTATCTTTCTCATAATTAACATCCTAATAACTAAGGTATTTTCAATACACAATATTAACTTAACATTTTTTTTTCCTCAATAATCATTGGCAGATTATCAGGAGAAAGCTACAACTCAAGCATTCATGCTTCAAGACAATGAACTAATTGTTGTGGCTTTCAGGGGTACCGAAGCCTTTGATGCAGATGCATGGTCTTCAGACTTTGATATCTCTTGGTTCGTTGAACAACTTCATCTAAATACTTGAAAGTTCGAATTGTCTCGTTCTACAGGGAACAAACTTAAATAATGTCTTCAACAGGTACGAGCTTCCAGGAATGGGAAAAGTTCATGGCGGATTCATGAAAGCTCTGGGGTTGCAGAAAAACGTAGGTTGGCCGCAAGAACAAGACAATAACAAGCGAGAGACAGCCTATTATGCCATTAGAAAAAAACTAAAAGAAATTCTAAAAGAAAATGATAAAGCAAAGTTTATAGTGACTGGCCACAGCTTGGGGGGTGCATTGGCTATTCTATTTCCAGCAATATTGGCATTGCATGACGAGGCATTGCTGTTGGATAGATTAGAAGGGATCTACACTTTTGGCCAACCTAGAGTGGGAGATGGAAATTTTGGAGAATTCGTGAAAAGAAAATTGGAAAAACACAATGTACACTATTACAGGTTTGTTTATAGTTTTGACATGGTGCCGAGGTTGCCTTATGATGATTCGACGCTCATGTTCAAACACTTTGGGACATGCGTTTACTATAATAGCTTCTACAATGGACAAGTAAGCCTCCTCTTATCAATTCTCAATCCATTTTTATTTATTGTTTTTACACACTTATATTTGCTTCTTGTTATGTAGGTTGTTCCCGAAGAACCGAACAAGAATTATTTCTCTCTACTATGGCTTATTCCGAAGTTCATCAATGCTTGTTGGGAGCTAGTTAGAAGCTTCATTATTCATTATACAAAAGGGCCAGACTACAAAGAAGGGGGTCTTCTTCTATTATTCAGAGTTGTCGGTTTAATAACCGCTGGAGTGCCCGCACATTGCCCCCAAGATTATATTAATGCCACTAGATTGGGATCCTCAGATGTGTTTCTTCCAGTAACTTTTAGTTCAAATGACCAAAAGACCTTGAAGTTATCGTGATCCTGATCAGCTGTAAATGCTTAAGAATCATCGGAGCCATTTGAAGTCGAAGCTGGACAGTACTGGAAATTATTACAATATCTTTTCTTATTAATTACCATAAAAAGGAAAATAAAAACTTGTGTCTGCTGGTTTTCACCCAAATGTGATCTATTGTTAGGCATAAGAAGTATTATGTTTATCGTGTGTGAGATATCTGGGCACTTGCTTGAAGAAAATGAAAACAATGAATACCATGTATTTGATTGCAAGAGGAGTGCAATAACTTCTTTTATACGATAGGAATATTAAGTTGATCTGCGACCGAAGGACTGCAGTAAGTGTATAATATTATGCGACTCCACAAATGCCGATAATAACAGACAAGGCAAGCCTGATAAAAGAAAAGTAATAAAATAAAATAAAAGGAAGTGCCACAATGGGAAGCCACTTTGTTTATTCCCTAGGGGTAATCGTGGGATCTCCTGTTGAGGATGATATGCTCTAACCATGTGTTTCATGCAGTAGGAAAAAACCACATGGTAGAATTTCAATTTCAATCTGTTCAACAGCAACTTGTACAAGGAATCTTATAATTAAAATGAAATACAAGATATTAACCTATGTTTCATGATTCATAAGGTCGAATCTACTACACCAAACAAGACTTTTAGATTATTTGTTCATGTTATTTATAAGATCTTGACATATAATGGTACAACCCCAATGCATTAAAGGCGGAGTCCACGGTGGTTTTTATGAAAGCTCTAGGCCTAAAATTGGATGGAATTTGGACCAAAGACAATGGTACTTATGATAGCATAACCAAAAGGCTTAAAAAAAGGGAACATGCTACATATACATAATTTTTGATGTGAAGGGGGTGTGGATACCCCTATGTATAAAAAATTATGTACACCAAGAATTATTCAAAAGCAATTCGCTGATAATTATTGGACAAGATTTATTGTCACCAGTTACAGCTTAGGTGGACCTCTTGCAATTCTGTTTCTTGCAGCTTTGGCATTGCACAAGAAGGACGGTGTCCTAAAATGACTGGAAGTTGTGTATACATTTGGCCAGCCTACATCTTGGATTTTGTGATGAGTTGATCTTTATGTACATGATCAAGCTGGTTCATTGATTTCTTTTATATGGTACATGATGTCGATGAGGAATTATACGAGGATAACTATTTTGAGATCGAATCATCAGTAAGTTAGAGTGCCTAGTGGGATGATACCCGAGCTATATCTCTTTCCCTTTTTGCAGATATTAGTGGTTCAATCTGATGTGAAGATAAGGTTCATTGATTTCTTTTATATGGTACATGATGTTGATGAGGAATTATACGATGATAACTACTTCGAGATCGAATCATTAGTAAGTTAGAGTGCCTAGTGGGATGATATCCGAGCTATATTTCTCTCCCTTTTTGCAGATATTAGTGGTTCAATCTGATGTCAAGAAAAAATATCTTTAATTTGCTAACAACTATTTTTCGTATCAAATCGCAATTACAAAGAATGTAGAATGTATTTATTGAGTAAAATAACCAGTAATCATAAAATCGATCTATGATAGGATGTAAAGAATGGAGTGTGATATTAGATGTCTTTCTAATACACCACCTTCACATCTTGTATAAAGATAATTGTAACTCTTATATTAAATTCATTACATACAAAATAATTATAATTATAATTATAAAATAATCACAGTGAAACATTATGATTAATAAAACCGAGAATACGAGAAAGCTTCAAGCTTTTGTGGACTCAGATGATTTCTACGGAAGATAATGTTATGTTAGTTTGACATTATGGACCATGTCTAAATTTGTCTTGAAATACTTGTCTGGATAACTTATCTTTTTTCTTTTTAAAAGTGTGTTTGATGTATATTAAAATGAGAGAATGTATTTTTTTGAAGTGATGTGATAGATAATATGTGGTTGAAAAA